CTAATGGATACATTTGAGATGGTTGGTATGGAGTGCTATGAATACCAATAAATTAGGAGCTGCCAACTCAATGCAAGTATGAGAAGAGATTTTGCTGCAAACACAACTGCAAATTGAATAAGTATTGAGTTTCCTTCCGAAAGAAGAGTGTGCTGTTAGATATTTAGGAACTTGTGCAAGTCACCTTCCCTGTAAAATATCCTAAACCTTATAGAATGAGGTGGGAATCCATTGTCCACCATGTACATTTGGAGTGTGGCTCCCATCAATCTTAATCAGAGCACCTAATCATGATGGGTGTTGAGAGTTGCAGTCCAAGAACACCTGCAAGGTCATAGGCTGCCCACCTCCACCCCATATTCTACTGTAATTAAGCTTGAGTATATGGAATTGTAATTCTTCCTGCTTTACTGCTAACCATCTTCATGTTCACCTCACCTACTAGACCAGTGGTTCTCAACCTTTTTTTTTTAACCAGGGACCTCTTTGACCAGGGACCACTCTCCAACATTAGTCCCAAAGGGTGAATCAGTTGTTGGTCAGTTTATATTTGGTTTGGTTATTTGGGGTGCTGATTCAGAAAATTGCATTGGATAGACCACATCTAGTTTCTGATATAGAATATATGTCATCCAGTAGTCCCCATCCACCGAGAATGATATTTAATAATCTAGAGCTGATGTGGTCTATCCAATTTTCTGAATCAGCACTCCAAATAAATCCAGGAACAAGCCTAAAAACCAAAGACACCTAGGTGCCCCCGGTTCCAGGTGCCACAAGGAATGGCCCCACTCACGGAGAGGGAAGAGGAGAAGAAGCAGTCAGGAGGCTTGTGGTCACGCCTTTCATGGGTAGTCAACCTCTCCCCTCCTGACATTCCCGTTGCCTCAGCACTATAAGAGGGCTTTGAGAAACCAGTCTCTCTCATTGCAGCAGTGTAATGGTGAGGCCACGGACCATATTTTCGTTCTTGGGGACCACTGGTGGTCCATGGACCACAGGTTGGGAACCACTGTACTAGACTGAAAGTACTTGTAGATTGTAGGTGTATGATCATCCCATTGTTTGTAAGGCACCACTTATCTTATTACATATTTTGTAATTATACATACATTATCTTGTAAGAGCCAGTATGGCATTGTGGTTTGATTGTTGGCTTAAGACTAAGGGAGATCAGAGTTTAAAACCTCACTAGGAGGCCTTGGGCAAATCACACGTTTTTAGTGTACAATGAAGGCAACGGTAATCCTTGGGGGGGGGGGGGACTCTACTAAAAAAATGTATAATAGGGGTGCAGTTGTTGAAGGCATTTAGCAACAACAACTAGTACATTATATACGGATGAAATCTCTCACCTCTCATAATTCTCCACCAATGTTTGCTGAGGATATAACTAGTCTAAAGCGTGAAATACAGAAACAACAGCAAGAGAATCAGATTTGCGATAGAAATGTGCCATACATTTCTAACATTTAGATATACAGTATATGCAGGTAGTATCTATAATTTCCAGATTTAAGTCTCACATCCTATTTTGTTGAGGTGCTTTTGTTAGGCTTCAAGGCTAATTCCTCCATTTTTTGTTTGGATTGGGGTCAGCTGTAGACATTTGTCACTTCAAAGGATGTCAAACCACAGTAGCTGAATACATATCTATTGTCAAATAGCACCAAAGTATAAGGGAGCAGTGGGTGACAAATCTCACATTGCCAGTGTACGAGAGACTATTTCTCCAGCAAGATGAGTGAGCTAGGCTTTGCGGCACCTTGAATTTGCACATATTATTACAGGCTTTATTTCCCCCACCTTCCCAAAATGTACAGGGTATTAATTTTTTTTACAGACCATGCATATTAGAAAACATCCTGTGTGTGGGCAGACCCCTGCTCTCCCACATGTATTCAGATGTAGTGGAAATCTGGAGCTTTTTAAGTTGTCAGCCTTGTATACAGGGCACGAGGAATTCTATTTTCACTCATACCACAGTGAGAGATTAGCAGCTTGAAATCACTTTGACAGTTTGTTACTCTATTGCATACTGCAGGGAATTTTAATTCCAACCTGTGAAATTGTAATTGCTTCTCAAAAAGAGGAGAGGGATGCTGGGTAATGGCCACAACCACGCTCAGTATCAGAGTTGCCAGTTGCTGCCACTTTAGATATTACTTGCTGTTATTCAGAAATCACTCCAGCTTTCCATATGGGAAGCTGAACTGGGAAGTGAGACTAAATTAACAGGAACTGTCAGATGTTCTGAAATCAGGAGGCAGAAATGTGACAGGGGTGGCTGAGCTCTCCTCCAAATGTTCTTATTTGTTCTCTCCCCGCATCCTAAATCATGCAGTGTTGTACTTTTCCACATCACGTTGTCTGTAAATTAATACCTGATTTACATCATCAAATGAAAGACTTAAGCAAAAGCCCTCCTTAGACATATTTACAACAAACAAACAAAAATGATGGAAAGATTTTCAGAGTGAAGATTTCTCTGTTCAGATGATGCACAGCAAATTCATTTAGTCACTTTTGTTCCTTGCAGGTGGCCTTTTCATTTTGTTAATCACTTTGTGTAATTTATTCACATGCTTCTCAGATCTGTGGACGGTTCAATCCGTAAGATATAAATGCAGATATTAGGCAAAGTGAGTTCACACTTGTGTGGCTGAGTCATCTAGCAATCCTTTTCGGTTAGGTTAGGGCTGTAGTGTCTTGGAGCTCATTTTCCACACATCATGGCTATTTTCAACTGAGCCAGTAGCTTCATCCAGGTTTTGGCTGTAGGAAGCCTATTGGGTCTGCGTTCTTCTTTGGTTGGCTACTATTGACTACAATGTATGAGGGTATTAATATGAGAAGTATGGGAATCAGTGTGAATGCAGACAAACCATTGGCCACAATTCTATGTTGGTTTATGTGGGGATAACTCCCAATGAGTGCAGTGGGACCTGCTCTTCAGTAAGCTTGCATAAGACTTAATTATACAGTAGGCCCTTGGTATCTGCAGAAGATTGGTTCCAGCATCTTCTATGAATACCAAAGGAAGTGCATATTCACACACCTATTAAAATGGCAAAGGACAGCAGTGGAGGTGGCAGCACATCCTGACTGCCGGGCACCTGGTAGCTAGGCATTGCTACTGCCTCCACTGCTGCCCTACACCATTTTTGATAGGATCCTACAGTATAAATGAATGGTTCCCAACCTTTGGTCCTCCATTTGTTTTAAATGTCTATTCCCAGAAATCCTAGCTGGTTTGCCAACTGTTAGGAATTGTGGGAGTTGAAATCTAAAACATTGGAAGGATCAAAGGTTGGGAACTACTGGTATATACCTTGCTTCATGTTTGCAGTCTCTTGTAAGCCCTGTGAGTCTTACATAGGAAGCTCGTATTAAAGACGTTGTTTGGCAGTAGCTGAGGCAGCCACAAGCACCACAAACCACCATGGGTGGTTAGCATACTTCCCACCATGGATTCAAATGTGCAGTATTGTGTAGTATTGAAATTAGGATGGGTTGAGCCCACAGATTATGAGACGATGATTCAGGATGGCTCATTGTACATGTTTTTTTAAGATTCCCAAACGTGTTGGACACAAAAGATGAGGACAGAGTTTCTTGGATCTCAACCATGAGATTATTCTAGGTTGCACTGGGAGGCATTCTAGGTTTAGGTACACAAGTGACTATCATTGTTAAAGGAGGAATAGTTGACTTGCTGATCTGGGACCTAAGCACGCCTCTGCTACTACCCATGGGCCTCTACTTCAAAGTAATCACACATGGCATTGCGCTTCAAGATGTATGGCTCTCAGGCTAGTCTGGATGCCAGAACTCTTGTTCCAAGAAGATTCCAGAAGTACAATATCTTTTCTTCCTTGTAAAAGGCAAGGTTTCATACCGGTTATATTTTGCAAGCCCTGTTTTATCCTTCTTACATCCTGTTTTTAACTGTTGAATTTTACAGTGTTTTGTATAGATGCTTGTTAGAAGTTGTTACTTTAGTTTTTAACATAACGTGGTTTTTTATATTGGCTTCTTACCAGTAAATATGCAGTTCCTAGCCCACGTTGCACTTGCATCGCTGCACCTCACAATGTGTATTTTGCACACTGTTTTATTCTGTTTGCATCCTACTTTTAACTGTTGGATTTTACAGTGTGTTGTATAGATGTTTGTTAGATGTTGTTTTTGTTGGTGGAAATGCATATGACCATTTGTTGGAGCATTAATAAATTGATTGATTGATTCATTAGTTCCAAATTAATTCGATATCCCATTAGATCCTGGCCTTCCTGAAAGGGTGTTTGGCCTGTGGGGGTAGTCCTGGGACTATCCAGGGGTGAGTCCACATTGCCATATTGCACATTTTGCCCACCCCCTCCCCCCAGGCCCCAAATTTACCCCTAAAAGTTAAAAAAATGTACCTGCGGCCATAAATCCCTTCTCATTCCCTCCCCAATCTCCTGGTGCATCATTTCTTCATGCCAAGAGGGCACGAGGAGTGAATTTGGGACTTTAATCAGGATGGCATGTTGCCCCCCCCCCGGGTTTTTTTGGTGGAGTGGGGACTGAAATCCGTGCCAAAGTGGGTTTTTTAAAACCTGCTGTGGTGTGGATTTTAGTCCTGTCTGGAAGCACCCTCAGCTTCTCTTTATCTATTATAAGAGCAACACCATCTGAAGTATCTTAACTTCAGCTGAGGTTTTTACTATGTTCCTTAGTCTCATCATACTTCATCTTCATTATTGCAGTATTTACAACTTAGTCTTTTGACCTAAGAATTTTGAATTGGGTATTTTAATGCACTGGATCCTGTTTGAGCTTAGACGATATGTAGAGTCAGCTCTGCTTAATACTTGATGGAAGACAAGGTACTGTTGGCTGAATTTTAGAGAACGGGACTGGGACAACTACTTATGGATATGCCTCACTGATGGAAATCCGATCAAAAGCCCACAAAAGGCACATGCACATACATTTAAATACAATAAAGACATGCATAAAGTAAAAAGAGGTTTAATAATGATTGCCGTACAAGGGGATGATCAATTACTTGCCCTATGGAAAAATATTTTAATAATTTATTTTTCTACAAACTTACGCCTTATACATGGCCAATAATGAAAATTTCACAATTTTCACAACTGCCATGCAGAGATAAATATATCATGTATATATAATACATATATATATAGCCAACAAGTTCAGAAAATGAAAAATTGAGATGTGGAAGTCATTAGAACACACCAATAATTTGATCTTACAAATCTAAGTAAAGAACTTATGCCAAGTCTAAGCAGACTCTTATCCAGGTTGCGATGATCAGGTAAGGCCTTGGAGTAGAAATGATCATCACCCAGTGTTCAACTATGATCTTTTCAGTGTCTTGATGAAATCACGACCCAGTTTGGATTCTCTCTTAAACCCCTCCATAGTAAAAGGCAACCAGGGCGGCGAGAAGAGCCACACTCAACGGCAGCAGCTTCAATAAACTTCCCCCTTGTTGCCAAGGCAACTGCATCGCCATCCTGTGGCTCAATGGTACTTTTTGCCTCTCAGCAGATGGACGGGCTTTTGCTTCCGAGCCATTCTCCAGCGCATGTCTGAACTCCTGTGGAGAAATGCAGAAATTAAATTGAGAATAGCTGCAAAGAACATTTGGCATGGATTGAGGACAAAAGACGTTTTCCTTCAACTCCGAAGAAGCCAGTCCCTCTTGGGCCCTCGAATAAATTACAGAATGAAATTCAATTGCACAAAACAAAAGGGCCGATGCTGCTGTTATGCGGAAACCAGCCTTTTCAGTTAAATTAACTGCCAAAGCAATAAAGCTGTTAAGTTCGTTTTGGACGAAAAACCCCACTGGTTATATATTAAAGTCATGCCAATTAATTTCAGGTTGTATTTCCTTTGCTGCAAAAGGCAAACCTGTAGTGATAAAGGGGGCCTTTCCTACTGCATTGCACCACTAAATCTGAGGGTTATTTTTTTGGTCCCACCGTATGCAAGCTCTGCGGTGTCCTCACATCTTCTCTACAGTTCTTCCTCCATCTCTCTCAGGAGGTGGCTGCACTAAAGTATTCACCCTTTCGATTAAGTTCCGAGTAAATATTTCCACACAGGGTTGAGGTCGAAACTGTATGGCTCTCCAGGTATTTTCTGGATTGCAGTTCCCAGCAGCCCAAGCCATTTGAGTCAACGGTAAGGCAATCTGGGAGGTGCAGTTCCAACATGGGCCAGACTAATCCCTTCCCTGATGTAGGGAAAAATAAAAATGGAAAAGCATGGGGTGAATGTGGGTGTATCTCTTTCACTATATGAAAACAAGGTGCTGCAGGTATAGTGGGAAACCATGGTCAGGTTCCTGTTTCCTAGCAACTGAAATATTTCCAAATGCAATGATTTCAGGTGGCTTATTTATACCCCTGTTTTATATTTTCCCCTTACAAATGCCATTCTGGGTGAAATTCAGGTGGCCTTTAATCACTCTTTCTTGTTTTTACTGCTCAAACAGACAAATATGGCCAATTCCTCTGAGAATAAAGAGCTTACTGTTGTTTCCCACACTGCCCTCCATATGTCCTATCCTCAGGACTCTAGGAAAAAAAGGAATACTAGACAAAACCTTCTGGCATCATCATAAATCTGAGCAAAGGTAACACAGCTGCCTTCCTCCCCATTATTTTATTATGGAACATGTCTGGGGCTGCATCTACACTGTAGAATTAATGAGGTTTGACACCACTTTAACTGCTGTGGCTCTATGCTATGGAATCCTGGGAATTGTAGTTTGGTGAGGCATCAGCACTCTTTGGCAAGGAAGGTGGAAGACATTGTAAAACTACACCTCCTGTTATTCCATAGTATTAAACCATGCCAGTTAAAGTGGATTCAAACTGCACTGATTCTATAATGTAGCTGCACCCTAGGTCATTTGCCAAACCCAGGGACTTATTTTAAGGCATGGAGAGGCTCGAGGGGAATATTTATTTGAGGCCCCTTCCAGAAGTTAGTGTGGTGGAGTGGTAAGTAGGATGGATGGCGACTCGTGGAATCTAGCTAATTAGGCCCTGCTTAGACACAAAGTTCACTAGGTGGTACTTTGGGCTAGTGGTTGACTCTCAGTTTAGCCTTCCTCTTGGGTTTCTTGTAAAGATACAGCACAGAACAGGAGAGATATTACTAGAATGACCCAAACTGTGACTGAATACAAGTGGACTGGGTTGTCAATATTAGCAGATTTTTTTTTGGTTTCCCCCCTCTAGGTTTATTGAGCTAGTGGGATTCTGCTAGGAATGACTTGGCAACAAAGCAGTAATGCTAATGCGACCTCCTCCTTGCATTAGCTCTTCTCATAGTGAAGTCTGGGACAACCACCCCCTGTAGTACTTCCACCCCCCTGCCCTGATTATGTCTCTTTGCAATGGAAATTCTTGCGTATGCTATTGAGCATCACAGCTCACCTATCATTTTAGCAATGGTTCATTATATTCAACTATATCATGCTCCGTAACATCTCTACTGAAAGGAGGTAGCCCATGCTCAAACTGTCATTATTATTATTATTATTATTATTATTATTATTATTATTATTATTATCTTATTAATAATAAAAATATTAACCTATTACAATGCAGTCTGAGCCCTGCCGCATGCACAATGGAGGACCTCCTTATAGGAACACCAGAGACACTCCAAGCGGGCAGCTTCTGGTCAAAGGAAATTTAATATAATGTGAAGTTTTTAAATTAAGTGTTTTTTTAAAATATATTTCAACTGTACCCTTGGTTTGCTTCTGATATGATGCATACACCTTGCTCAAAGGTTGGCTCAAAAGGTTGGCTACCATACAGTGCTCTTCCAGGCAACAATTGAGGACTATACTTCCCACAGCACCTCCTTGCAAAAGGACTGAAACTTATTTTCCCTAAAAGCCCTCCAGAGAGCATTGGAGGGGTTTTAGTACGATTTGCCCCACTGGACCATTGCAGGTTCAAGAAAGATCACTTTTACAAAAGGAAGTGATCTAAATGTCACTTCTGGGTTATTTTCTGTTTTTTAAAAAGCTTCTCCTAGGCTTAAAATTGTCAATAGCACTATTGCATATTTCTATGCCAGGGAAAAGTCTGGTATATGAATTCATTGTGGGTGCTTGAAATGAGTGGAACCTATGGCAGGGTGAGCCAGAAAGGTGAAGAAAAGGGAAAAGAAGCATAATGCGTATGCCATGAAAGGAGAGGGGAAAATCAGAACTATGTCCACCATTAAGTAGAGACTACTAGATTTCGCCACAAAATATTACTTATATAGATAGCTATTTCCACACAGTGACAGGCAGAGTAATTAAAATCAATTGCCTAATGAATCTGAAAAATTAATAACTGGTAACAACTATTTCATTCCCGGAGTCAAGCCTAATTAACCTTTATACGGAGAAATAAACTGGAAACCACAGAGTGCCAATTATTAAACATTTTACTAATTTGCAACAAAAGCTAGCTCATAATAGACTTCATCTTGTAGACTGATTAAACTTGGAAGAAAAGCTTGCACAGAATAGTATTCACTTGAGGCATCTAATTATTTCCTTGGATGCCTATTAGGTTTTAAAATCCCATTATCAATTTACCATATACTTTACATCCGGTGAATCATCTTTCTCCTAAGTATCAACATTTCACAATTATTTTATATATTAAGCATAGGCGAATACCTAATTTGATCAACATTACCAAAAGTAATAGTCTAATAGTAGGTGTTTCAACACGACCAAAAGAAGTTTAATGGGTGACAGCAGACATCTTTTGCTGCAGGATCCATTCTTCAATAGTTTAGCGAAAGACAAGAATTTTTGCATGATGAAAGGACCAACATTTAAGTTTACACATTTAATTTGAGAGTAAGTCCTATTGAATTCAACAGAACTTGCTTGTTACTTCAAGGACTGTACTATTGACCTTTTTCATCTGATGAGCTAATATAGACAAGACATTTCATTTCAAAAGCCTCTGTGACATGTAAACCTGCTTGAGAAATTACAGTATGTCTATCTGAAAAAAAGTTGATTAGGACATTGTACACATTCTTATTTGTTGATATTGTTCTCTGCTGTCAAGTCAACTTTGATTTATGGTGCCACTATGATGCCACAGCTCATCAACTTCTCTGTTCAGTTCTTCTGAACTTGTAAAGGGACTGGACCAGGCCCGTAGCCAGGATTTCGTTTCGGGGGGGGGGGGGCTGAATTTTTTTCAGGGGGGGTTCGGGGGGGTGAGTTTTGGGGGGGGGCTGAGTCTGAGTGAAAGAGGGTCTAGCCTAGCAAACCTTTTGTATCATTACCCCAATACCCCCATGCATATGGGATATATTGAGTATGGTGATCAGATCATGATATGAATAAACATAACAGTTTAAATAATGCACCAGTAAGCCTTTTCGCGAACCACCATGAGAATTTTTTTTGGGGGGGGCGCTGAAGCCCCCGCCCCCCCCCCCCCGGCTACATGCCTGGACTGGACTTAGCACAGCAGAGTAAACCGCTGTGCTGCAGAAAAATCCATGATCATCTTTCTTATCTTATTTTCTGCAAGTAATACGGTCTCATCTGCATTTCTAGGAGCCCCCGGTGGCGCAGTGTGTTAAACACTTGTACTGGCAGGACTGAAGACTGACAGGTCACAGGTTCAAATTTGGGAAGAGCGTGGATGAGCTCCCTCTGTCAGCTCCAGCTCCCCATGTGGGGACATTCAGAGAAGCCTCCCACAAGGATGGTAAAACATCAAAACATCCAGGCGTCACCCTGGGCAACGCCTTTGCAGACGGCCAATTCTCTCACACCAGAAGCGACTTGCAGTTTCTCAAGTTCCTTCTGACATGAAAAAAAAAATCTGCATTTCTTAGTTGATATTTCTTTCCCAAATGTTCATGCCTATTTCCTCTGAGTCCGGTTCAGCTTTCCATATTATATGTTCTGTGCATAAATTAAACAGAAGGTGTGATAAAATGCAGTCTTGTCTGATCTCACTGCTATTCTGTTTGTCTATTTTACATCCCAAAAGCGACTTCTTCTTCAGACAATGGTTAATACATCCTGACATTTGATGTTGTGAAACATCTTCTTTTTTAAAAAAGCAATCCATAATTTCTCATGATCTGCATAATAAACGCCTTACATTCATAATCATGGAGTTATAATAATGTATTTCCAGTAAAAAGAATTAAATTTCTACAGATCTGGAATAAATATAAATTTAGAACACGAACCCTTACACCTCCCCCGGATCAGTAAGTGATTAAATTCCTAGATCAATAATTTCTGAATCTAACACTTTGAAAAGATTATGTGGGTGGAATGGCTTATGCAGATAATATTGATTTGCTTGAGGACAGTAGGATGTGATAGCATTTCTTATAGTTCATGGTGTTTTTACACAGTGTGCTAATCCTCCTGGACTCCTATGAGGAACCCCTGGTTATAAATCAAACAGACAGTTTCAAATACAACCTAAGTGAGGCAATAGGTATTTCCCTTGGGAATTTCCCTCATATTACATCCTATTTATTTAGACTGGTTCTTTTTAAGGTCAGATATCTAACTAACAGCCATAACAA